CCCCTGGGCCATGTGTCCATTTATGAGATGCACTGCATTTGCATTTAGGAACCCTCCACTGATGTAGACAATCATGATTCTCTATAGATGTCTTTTCTTTATTATCTGTGAATTGCCATGACTTTTTAGGAAATTTCCCATTGCCTTCTCCAGAATTTTGAATTCAGAGTTTTCCCCAGTCTATTCTGCTATTCAACCCATAGCTGGGTAGGAGCTGGATAAGAGAGATGGATTCATGCCTTTCCCAAAGGTATTAACATGAAAGTGAATCTGTTACATTTCTTACTTTTATTATCATTTAATTCCTGGTGTCTTTCTCTGAGTTTTAGTTTCAAAGGGTAATTTGTGACTAGTTTATTTTTTCCCACCTGCAAGAAAAAGATGGATTTTAAGTAACCTGAAATGGAAAATACCAAATTTAGAAATGGCACTTTTTCTGCAATTTGCTGCTCTTGTCATGTGCAGCATTTAACAAGCAGAAAGGATACTTGTTGCTAGAGGTGACAAAAAGAAAGTTTTGTTCACTCTATAATGGTCAGTCCTTAAGACAGAAAATATGTTGCTATCATGGACAAAATCAAAGGAAGGAATTGTAAAATTTGGGAAACCAATCACTGTAAATATTTGTCAAATATATTCATTTTTATTTGCACATTTTTAAATTTAAGTATGAGAGCTGAGAAGAACAACATATTTAAACTTTTGATTCAAAAGGTTTAATAAAAAATATTTTTCCATTGGCAAACTGTGGTCAATAATCTGTTAGCAAAAAAAAACATATTTAAACTTTGATCTTAGCTAACAGACTATATAAATAACTATTGTCATGCACTGGCAAAATTATGTTCAGAAATGAATGACTCTCTCTCTTTTTAAACATAAAATAGTAGTGTAAAAATGAAGGTTACTTTCCTTGAAGTATTTTACACCAAGTTTTCAGTCTAGATGAGGATATTAGTCTGAGCAAACTCATTTATTAATTGAATTTGTTATAAAACATAAAAGTAAAGACAAAGTTTCATAAGTAAATTTACTCACAAGTTTTACTTACTTATTGCTTGATATTAACTTTTTTTCTTTTTTTACTGGGAAAAGCAAAATTCCATTAGGTAAATGTAAAGTTGTTTGTGGTAATGGAATTAAGGTCTGCTTAATATATTTTGCTTTTGGTATGTGTGTGTGACTACAGTTGTGTATGTCTGAAAAGGACACACCTGATTCTGTAAAGTATAAAGCAAGCTGGTTTTATGCTTTCTGTCACAAATGCATTAACAGGCAAATAGAAAAAAATTTTTGAAAACTCTTGAGAACTAAGATTTTCCTTGACAATCTTGGACACACTATCACTACCCACCCCCAAACACACCCAATGAAAAAAAAAAAATATATATATATATATATACTTTTAGTATATGAACATATTAGTTCTTAAACATATTTGATTTGAAAATACAGCTCTGTTTTTAGCTTTGTTAGACTTTGAATCATCCTTATTGTGTACTCTGAGAATGAGTTTAGTAAATTCTCCATATAGACATAGCTTTTGCTTGCTTCAATTAAACTGAATATTTTATATGCTCATTTATACTTACCTCCAACCTGATCGATCTCAATCAAGATCACTGAGATCCACAAACTCATACTGCAGTTAATTGTACACTCTTTAACCTTGTCTGTGGCTGCTTTGTCAGCTTTGAATTCAGAGTTGTCCTTCTCCTAGATTTGTTGCCAACTAAGGCTAGAGAACCCCCCATTTGCTTTACTATAGCTGGGAGAGGAGAAATGGATTCATGTGTTTCTCAAGTATTTGAGCAAAAATGAATTTGAATTCTGCCCATCAATTTTACATTCTTAACCAATAATGATTACATAATCTGCACATCCATGTTTATTTATGAGGAATGTATTTCATCAAAATTAGTAAATTTATTAAGCTTAACTTGATATGGCACATATACACAACTGTGGATCATCCAATAAGAATTGAACTGTAATTTACTATAACACTTCAGCTAGTAAATTGTTGCCTTTTAGGTTGTCCATTTTTAGAAATGTTGTTTGCTATGTAATTCATGTAAAATATCTCAAAAAGTTTTTTGTTGGTCAAGGGCTTTTTATTGATTGTTATGTTTTTATAAACAATGAGAAGTTTCATTTTTGTTTACTTTCTTTTATATCTGTTGACAATGTTTGCTTTCTTGATTAACAACAATGAAAAGTTATCTATCTATCTATCTATATATATATATATATATATATATATATATATATAAGCAATCATATAAAAATGTGTTTTCATTGTCCTAGTATTTTTCTATTAAAACAAATATTTTGGCTATAAAGAGTGATGACTTTCCATGTTTGGCCAATTCCACTCCTAAGATTAACATAAGATAAACAATATAATGGACATATTTTGTGAATATAATGAATGGCTAAATATGTATCAAAATATTCTTTATATAAATGGCAAAAAAGATACACAAAATTCAGTGCATAAAAATAAAGCTTTGTAATGATTCCTAACCTTTCTATAAATGACAACTTAAGAACAGTTTGATTAACTTTGCCATTTATATTCCTAATGAATATCTACAAATGTAATATGATGACTAGCCAAAATTTATGTCTGACAGCTTTTTATTGATTCATAAAACATTAAATTTGCATTTTTCTATCTCCTGTGCAAGCAACAAAATAAATACTAACTTAAGGACAATGACATTGCATGAGATGATCTCTTATTTATAAAGTGTTTTCTTTAGAATATGTTTTTTTTTTTTGTTGTTGTTGTTTCTGGTTTGTGAGTTTCTTCCCAAATATCATTACTGACCAAAATGCATGAATTCTTTTTACATTTGCTTTGTGTTTTTGTACACTGCGTCTGTTTCAAAAGTACATTTCTCTTCAGCCAATAAGCAAAAGAAGCAAGATATTGAATACAACCACTTGTGTTTCTTTTTTTCTTTTAACTTTTTGCTTGCAGTATTCATTCATACTTCTGCATTGTTTTGATTTTAGAAATCCTTCAAGCAAAGATTATTTTGTGAATGCCAACAAAATGGGAAATGCAAATACTCTGTTCAGATAACACTGCCAGAATAGGATGAAAAAGCAAGAAAACAAAAAAAAGGAATCATTATTTTGAGTTCAACAAGAACAGCCAACATAGTTTATTAATTTTTACCTGATTTTTCTGGTGAGAATTTTTAAGAAATAGTTTTTGCTGCCATGAAGCAATTTAAAACATGGAACACTTCTTGGGAAAATCTTTTTTTAATCTTCTGTATAACCTATGTACCTTTCTCTACCTATCATACTTCATTCATTGTTATGTCACAGTCTTGAATATGTTTTCTTGTGTCTGTCTTTCTATGACTTATACAATTCTATAATTCATGGTAAGTGATATATGAGGGGGTGCAGAAAAGTTCTTGAATAACCCAATTCTCAAAATTTGAACAAATGACCAAAAATTTATTTTTTTTTTTTTTTTTTTTAGTTGAGTCAAGAATTTTTCAGTGCTTTCTCATACAATTCTGTTCTAAAAATAATTGGGAGTTTTTTTTTTTCTTATCCATTTGTATGGAAGTTTTTGTTTTTTTCTTCTTCTTTTTTTGATCTGTGGGCTTTTCATTTTATTTTTTCATATTATTGGTAACTTTTTAAAAATAAAATACAAAGTCCTTCATATTGGTTTTATTCTGCAAAACAAAAATGTGTGTTCATCTTTTTGTAGATTTGTAGATTTATCAAAATATAACCAGTGTAGTAAAGTGTAGTAGATAAATATACATATAATCTCAACAGAATAATTTTGACTTTTTAACATATTAGAACATTGTATTGTTTTCAATTTTTTTCTATAACTGGTAAAAAAGAGCTGCACAATTTCTTAGCCAGTAAATTCAATGATTTAGGCTAATAAGATTTTCTGGTGGATCATAGCAACTTTATCTTGTCACTTTTGCATGTTTTATTGCAAACAAAGTTTTGTCCTGGAGAATAGCATGACACTGACTGGCATAGCAAGCCATATAGCATCTCATTAAATATTCAAACTCTGATGACAAACTACATTTTCTTTGAGATTGGCAGTTAAGCTTAAAATTTAATAACACAGTATAATCATACAGAACCTCCTGGATAGGAAGCCAATAATTCATACCCCCAGGGCAGCAGCATTCCATTGCACTAAGATTCAATAGCCGAGGTAACCAAGCAATTTCTAGATGACTCTTTATACAACCTTGATTCATGTGTTAGATACTTCCCCCTGCCACACACACACACACACACACACACACACAAATGCTGTATCACATTTGTCTTCAAAGGGAGAGGGCAGATAATCTGCTTGTTTTCTCTTATACATTACCAACACATTTACCAAGATGACTGAATGCAAAACAGTGTATTTTGGTTTGTGTTTTTGAAGAGCATATTAACACAAAGTGACACAAATAGTTATATAAAAAATTTATTTTATTTTATTTTCTCCAGTTCCATTTTCTGGGCATGAGGAAGACATTGGCAGTTTAGTAGTTATGAAATTTGTTTTACTTTGAGCTTTTCCATTTTACTGTTAGCTTTTTTGTCATCATTGCCTTATCCTCTCTTCCTTTCATTTGTATCTTTGGACCTTTTATTGCTTTTAGTTGCTCCATAATTATTTTTAGGGCATCACTGCTTTCTCCATCTGTTATTTACCATCCTTTGTTATAATGTATGGTTAGTCAATCTATCACTTGTCTTTGTCACACCTTAAGAATCTTTCTAAGTAGTAATGTGACACTATCACTCTTCTTAATGGTACTATCAAGCAATAACAATCTCTTGTATTTCCTTATTAGATTGTCAGTATTGCAAAGATGTTTGACTTTTGCCATTCTTTCTGACATTCCATCTTCTCTGTTTGCAGGCTTTCTCAGAAGATGTTTGGCCGTCCCCAGTCATTTCTTTACGTAGTTTTTGGCATCTCTATTGGGCTGACCATCTCAATGCTGACCAGTTCGATGAATAGTATTCTCTGGAACAATCTGATTGTACGAAACGACAACCATGAACATGAGTCATTTAACATCCCTGGTACTGACCGTGGATATACAGATGATAATGAACATCAAACTAATGATTCTCACCATCACCATGGTGAGTTAAAACAACTTTAGAAATTCCTTTTTTGTATTATTATTATTATTATGAAATGGTAAACAATTCTTTTCTTTCTCTCCAGTGGGGCTTACAGTCAAATCAAGCTGAAAACACTGGTCCTCATCTGATTACTGAAGTTAAGCAGTGCTGAGCCCAATCAGTACTTAGATGGGGGACCACTTGGTACTGTAAGCGACCTTATACAATCCAAAATATGTTTTGGCTTTAAATAACCCAAAAAAGGTTGATAAACCATAAAAAGTGTGTGATGAATTTTTAAAATGGTCTAATTATGTAAATTGTGGAATTTACAAAATTTAATAATGTTTTTGGTAAAATTTATGTTTCCAGCAATATTGAATGGCATGGCACTTAGTTTTGCTTTATTTAATTTCATACACTTGAATTCAGTAGTACCTGAATGATTATAAAGAGTTCCAATCCTTGATCTTCAATTTCAGCCCCGTGATGTATACAAAATTGCCTCACTTGCACCCTTAAACATTTGTTTTCTAAACTTAGGAGTTATTGATATTCAATGATATTATCATCTTTGTGTTGAACATAAAACTACACTGTTAGAATGTCATGCAAGTCAATGTTTTTACAATAATAATATTAATCAAAAGATGTTGGTAATATTTTTCACAGTATAAGCAAGATGTTTGAATCAACAAGAAGGTCACTGAATACCTCAACAGCAACAACCTCCTGAGCAATAATTAGTATGGAATACTCCCTGCTCAATCCAGTTAATTTCTTAACTATTATTACTCTTCAACTCTAGGGTTAACCATTATCTTTTCCTTTCATATTCCCATAGAAAGAAGTAAGTTCCATTCAGACATCTTCTTTCCAAGAACTGCTGCTTTGTGGAACAGACTCCTGGCAGAATGTGGGAAAATATCCTGCCAGGAAAACATCCTACCAATCTTGACCTCTTCAAGTCTAGGGTTAACCATTATCTTTCCTACATTACCTCATGAACTGCAATTCTTGATTATTTTTTTTTAATTATTATTTTATATTTATATTTTATTTATTTTTTTTTTTTTTAATAGTACACAGTAAGCCTCTACCTTGAGTGGCACTTGGGCTTTGTATTGGGTGAACATTACTATAAGAAAATATATATTTATATGATAAATTTACAATGTTAATTTCAGATTATAAATCTTTTAGAAATATTTGCAATAACTTATTTGGTGGTGTGAGATTTTATTATGAAACTCAATGGTGGCTCATCATATTGTAAACAAATATACATAATAATAATACAGTTACTGATATTCATCTTTAAATTTAAGATATATAAAGATTGTTGTGAGAAAGATAATATCAAAAGAAAAATAAGATATTGTAAAGTTATTGGCTGATGAAAATACAACATTGAAAATTGGGAACAAGTTGACAAGTTGATCAGAAAGAAATAAAAAAAAAAATGAAAACATTGGTAGAATAAGAACAACCAACTGGGTTGAAGATTGTCACAAAGATTTGCTATATATATATATATATATATATATATATATATATATATATATAGTTGTTCCCATGTGCCAAATGACTTCTTTAAAAGTTTATTTATATCTTATTCATGCTAAAGCATTTTTTAATAAAATCTTTTCTAACTTGCAGATGATGACACAATAGCAAATCAGTTGAAGAAGAAAGTACGTGTTCTTTGTTGGATTATGACAAATCCAAATAATTTACAATCAAAAGCAAAACATGTCAAACATACCTGGGGAAAGCGTTGTAATGTCATGTTGTTTATGAGTTCCACAACGGACCCTAATTTCCCCACGATAGGCCTAAATGTGTCTGAGGGGCGAGATCATTTGACAGGAAAAACTATGAGGGCTTTTCTTTATGTCTACAAAAATCATTTCAATGATGCTGACTGGTTTATGAAGGCTGATGACGATACGTATGTAATTGTGGAAAACTTACGTTACTTCCTCTCAAGTAAAAACCACAATGCACCAGTCTATTTTGGACATCATTTCAAACCAATTGTGAAAGGGGGCTATCATAGCGGTGGTGCTGGTTATGTTCTCAGCAAAGAGGCTTTACGTCGATTTGCTGTTTTAGGAAATTCCAAAATATGTCGAGCCGATGGTGGTGCTGAAGATGTTGAAATGGGGAGCTGTTTACAAAAACTGAATGTTACTGCTGGGAAAACTGTAGACAGTTTAGGACGATCACGATTCCATTGTTTCAACCCAGGAACCCATCTTCATGGAGGATATCCAAGTTGGTTTTACTCTTATGATTCAAATGGAGCAAGATCGGTAATTTTATTTTTATTTTAATTTTGTATGTTGTTGTTTTTCTTTTCTTCAAGAAGTGTATCCAGTCTATTCTATTTAAATTTAATTCAACTTTTAAGTGAAATAATAATTTTAAAAACTAAAAAAATCTTCTCTTGTCATTCTATAGTTACTCTGAAATAATTTAAATGTTTTTATGTCAACAAGTGGGATTTGCTTGAAGAGGAGAAAAAGAAATGTTTTTTTTTGCTTCCTAACAATTTATTATAGGAAAACTGAATTTTAATTGTTTTTTATATAGATTTATTTATATAGACAAATACATTTACAAAATGATAAGCCAGGAATTTGACACTATTCAAGGAGAGCTGATGTTGGCTGCTACTTGTAATTCTAATTCTTATACTGCTACTTGTAATGCAATTCTTATACTGTCTCATGTTTATTCTGCTTTGTAGTAAAGTGTTCTTTTTTTTAATCTCTAAGTAAATTTATTGATATTTAAATATTTTTCTTGTATCATGGGGACATTGTGATTTTTACACATAATTGAGTTCTGGGATGAAAATCCTTTTTTTCTGGTTCTAATTTGAACCTTCCTTCTAGATGCCTAATAAGCTTCAACAATTTAGCACTTTGCTAGAATCTCTAATGATACCAGAAAGTAGAGAGTATAATCTTTATCTATTCTACTTTGAATATTCAACATACACAAGGGCTTTGAGTTGCAGTTTTATTTACAAATTCCCAAAGATGAACTTGAAATATCTTATCTTTACTCTTATGATTCAAATGGAGCAAGATCGGTAAATTTATTTTTATTTTAATTTTGTATGTTGTGTTGTTTTTCTTTTCTTCAAGAAGTGTATCCAGTCTATTCTATTTAAATTTAATTCAACTTTAAGTGAAATAATAATTTTAAAAACTAAAAAAATCTTCTCTTGTCATTCTATAGTTGCTCTGAAATAATTTAAATGTTTTTATGTCAACAAGTGGGATTTGCTTGAAGAGGAGAAAAAGAAATGTTTTTTTTTGCTTCCTAACAATTTATTATAGGAAAACTCTTAATATCTTACTTATTGATGAAAATATCTAAAGCAACAATAATGTCCTTTAAATTTTGTTATGTGTTTTTATTAATTGTTTCTATTTGAGAAATTGGCTAAAGAAATAGCTAACAAGTTACTTTGTTTCAACTTGGAGTTAAATGAATTCTAATTTCTTAAGAAACTTTATCAAAATACTCTACTCTTCTTTCAGCCATTGAAAGTGTTTGACCATTACAATGAATTCTTGAAGAATGTTACCTTCTACCCAACTTGACCAAAACTCCTAATATAATTTTACTTTCAAAATCTGTAACAAGAAATATATTGTCTTTTCCTAAATAAGTAATGTTCTAAATAAAACTTTTCTTTTTTTTTATCATTATTTAATGACTTTTTTAAATTCTTTTTTCAGGGAATCAACAATATCAGTGACTATGCAATAACTTTTCATTATGTTGGACCGAGGGAAATGCACACATTAGAATTTTATGTTTATCATCTACGGCCTTTTGGTATTGTCTCTGGAGTACAAGACCTAAATGTGTGATGGCATTCACATACAGTTTTAATTATCTCTAAGGAAATTTTTTTAAAATTCTAAATCATTCCTCTTTGGCCAGGTTTTAATCTGAAACCATTAAAGACAAATTCCATTTTGTGACCTTAGCAAGATATTGTGAATACTAATTCTTTGGTACAAGGTTTGGGGGAAAAATTGTTAACCTATATATTTTTAAGTGGGATGGATTTTTAAAACTTTTTAACAAATTCTTATATGAAATATATTCCTTTTTAAATAAAAAGCAAGTCTATGAAATTATATTTTAATTGATAATTAATTGATTCTATTTTAATTGATTTATTATCATCAATTATAAATGTTCTCTATTCAATTTGTTGCACTTTTGAATTGGAGTTCCAGATGAAATTTTCCTCTGAAACTTTTAATGGTTGTGTGACTTCAAAGTCAGGTTTTCTCATTCCTTTTCTTTCCTCCAGTTTATAAACTCTTGTGGATTGAAAATGGCCTTATGTCATTTGACCTGGAAATAAAAGAATATCTTTAATAAAGTGTTAGGTCAACTCAAATACAGTAAAGTGTAGCAGTTTAAAATAACTTAAAAGTAGTCTTAAATTTTTCGAACATAAAATTTAGGGTAAATTATTTACAACAGCATTTAAATATTTTTTGTACTTAAAACAAAAAATGTATAAATGATATTAAAAGTAAGCATCTTTTTTTTTTTTTTTTTAGGTAAATTCCTATTTTATTTGTAAGTTAAACACTATTGTATCTTAGGGTTCATTCAGACTAATATCCTCATCTTTGTTGTTTTTTATTTTTTAATTTAGCTGGAAAAGAATGAAATTGTTTGGGGGAGGATTGCAAAATAAATCGGTCACTTATTTTGACTGATTATTATCTTTGTTTCTCCTCAAAATAGTTGAACCTTTTATTAGCAGTTTCACTTTCTACTTCCTCTCCTATCTCTATTGTTGAGAATGCTTGAACAGAAAATAATATAAAATAAGGATCTTATGAAATGTAATATCTTAATAGAATAACAAAGACAGAGATATTTTCTGAATGAATACAGCATATTTAAGCTTTCAGTAGAATTAAAATGTATCCAAACAAGAAAACCTTTTGGAAAAATTACTGACTACACCATTGTCAGTTCTAGTAAAAGATACTTGCTTTTATGGGTAAAATTAACTGTGATATGATTAGTTTTAACTATATCCCCTGTGAACCCTCACACATTCATGGCAAACTGGTTTCTTAAATGAAAAAAAAAAAAACAATTTTAAAGTTTTTTTTTTTTGTTGTTTTTTTTTTGATACTGTCATAATTATTTATAATGTACTTAGTTATAAAAAAAAAGAAGAATCAACAAAAAAAAAATTATATTTTACCAATCTTACATGAATGTCTTTCTTTTTTAAAAAAAAAAAGGGTTTCCATCTATTGAATGTCATATTATTTGGGAAAATATTTTGAAACAAACAAACAAAAGAAAACTGAATATTCCTTTGTTTAATTTGCCATGACATTTTGGGGTTTAAAATAACACTTATCAGTTTTACTTCTGTTGATAAGTTACAACAGCTTCTCCATTTGTAAACAGAAGAGCACATTCTATTTTTTTGTAAAATTAACAGATTAACAAAAACTGCTGACTGGCAACAGTTTAATGGCAGGCAAAATATTTCTGGCCACTTAATATAAAGTATTCTTCCTCATAGCATTTAACACCAAGTAAATCTTTCAATAAAATATCTCCTTAAAATTACAATAGAAATAGTTTTCAAGTAATTTTAGGACTGTTTTATAATGACTGGAAATTTACCAGTTTGTTAAAGAACAATTTCTTCAAATGTTATTAAGGTCATTTTAACTTCTGCTGTAAAACTCTGACAATTGTTTTAATGCTTCTCCCAAAACTGCTAAGATTGCTTTCACATTTCCTTGGGCTGTTCCTATATCTGCTGTAAAACTGTTTTCCTAACTGCTAACAATTTTAAAATTACTGTCTAGCCACCTTAAGTGATAAAATTTTTAAAATTGCAAATATATTTATTTCCACTGTTAGTTATGAGTAGATATATGGAAATATATTTGATCATATCTAACAGTGAGAGATTCTTTAAGTAAAAATCATTTTATGCCTTTACTGGCTGCTCAGTCAATGAATGTTGAATGTTTCCTCATAAGGAAGTGGCTAATATTATCGTTAACATTTAACCTCTTATATTTTAATTACCCAGTCTATCAAGAAGCTAAAATCCTGTAAGTTTTTTTTCAAATTTATTTTAATCATATATTCTTTAAAGATAATCATCTTTTTAAAAAAAAAAATAGTTTTTTTTTTTTTTTGTTTTTAATATCGGAATGTAAAAATTTAAAATTTTTCATTAAAGTCCATAAACAAAAATCGTTTTTTTTTTTTTTCCAATAATCTTCACATGCCAGTTTGCAAAATCCTGGTCTTTTGTTTTTTTTTTGCCACCTGTAGAATTACAGTCGTAGCCAAAAATTCAGACACCCACATTCAGAGATTCCTTCCATAAAAATAGCTTTTCATGATGAAAACACATGAAAATAAACCCGTAAGAATACTGAGGAAAACATGAAAAACTCATTGATCAAAAGAAATGACAAAGAAACACAAATTTAAATTCTGCTGAGCAAATCTTTTGTTGATTTTTGGGAGAAAAAAATAAAGTTCATTTTTGTGACACATTTTCCCATAAACTTGTTTCACTGCTAAAAATAATAAAATATTAACTTTGCACTGTCTTCCCCATACTACTAATAAACTAGTCTTTCACTCATATATATATATATAGAGAGAGCCCATGTGTGTATATATTTTTAAACATTTCAGCCTAAGCAAGGCAATAAAAGCCACTAATATGTGAGGGGTTACTGAGAGCAAAAGAAGTGGGGGGTATTTATATATATATATATATATATATATATAAATGTACTCTTATCGCCTTGCTTAGGTATAAATATATATAATATATATATATATAATCTCAATCGTGTATGGATAGGAATCTGACAAAATCTGTTTCCTACTTGTTCTTTTTCCTATCATATATATATATATATATATATATATATATATATTAGGAAGGATATTACTTAGTGTCCAAATTCCATGAATTTTTTACAGGTGTCATTTCTACAGCCAGATGCTCTTACTAGAGAAAAAAATATTATATATTACTTAGTTGCCAATTGGAATAAAGCATTCATTAAATGTGTATCACTTGCATTAACACTTAGGCAATCAAATGCAAAACCTTTATTTTTAATCTGGAGATAGATTTGTAAACTTTTTTTTTCCCTTTTAGTATTGCATCAAAAGTAGTAGTATCAACAAGTAAAAATTTTAAAAACTTCTGTCATTTCTACAGTGTTTCATAAATAGATTATTACTGGCTGGATGCCAGAACTGTTGCCAGACACCAGACTGGATGATGATTATATCTGAGAGGTGGCACATATATATTTTGGTAAATAAAATTCTCCACCCAGATAAATTTATCCCAACTACTCTTCTCCCTGCCCCTTGTAAATTTTCCTTGGGTTTGTTGCAGTTCCCTGAAGACACTGTCCATTTGTATAAAATAAAAACATCAAGAAAGCGCCCAGACAATTGGTCGGTCAGAGAGTGCCTTACAATATTTATCTTGTTGGGATTCACATTTCTTTTTCTTTAAGAAAAAGTAATTTTTCTTTTTCATGAAATCAACTGTTCTAAGAATGATATTCTCAAACTAGATTTTTTTTTCTGTATTGAAATGATCCTTTGTGATGTATTTTTCTTTAATAAAGTTATACATTCTAATAATGTACTCTAAAACTTTGACCTATTTTTATGTTAAACTATTTTTTCCCTATATGTAATTTCTCTTTTTATTGAAATATTCAAAACCATTTCTTTTTCTTCTCTCCTTTTTAGCCAAAAGGATTATTTCAGACATTTGTTCTGTCCAGAATGAGAATATTTATTGCCTCTCCAATAATATTGACATATATTCATGGGGTTTTTTCTTATGCATTTTTAAAAAAATAATTGAAACAAAATTTGGGTTACAAATTTGATAACTGTTTCCTTTTATTTTTTTTAATTTTTCACAATTTCTATTTTTCTTAGTTCACTTGGTTATATTTTAATCTCTCAATTTTGTTTATAGATTTTCTCTCCTTTCCTTCCTTTGGTAAACTTTTCGATATAGATCATATCCAACTCTCCGTCCATAGCTAGCTAGAGAAATTGAAATCCTCTCTACAGATTCTCCTAAAAAAAGTCTTGTTTGACTTGGTTTCTTCTGGATTCATATCCTTCATTTTTTTTTTTTTTTTTTTTTTTTGCACAATAAGTGAAGGACAAAAAGTTTTAATGAAGATGGCAGAAAGTTTTCCAAATATAGTAATGATTATTTTCAGTCAATTAACAGAAAACATTTTCCAGATTTAACTTTTCTCTCATGGTAAATAGTTTAGAGGAAAACATTTTCTATATTATTTGATAAAAACGGTTTTTATAATCAATATTTCTATTAATCTTTGTTTTCTGCTCGTATGATTACCAATTGAATTTTGTATATATAGTGAGTGTCATTTCCCTGACCTCTCAAAAACTTTTTATGGCAAAAGTTTTTGGTTATTTAGACTATCAGACATTGTTTAAAAAAAAAAATTGAATTCTTTTGTTTTCTTCTACAATTGTTAAAAGAGAATCTGTATCTTGGTCTTTGGGAAACATTAAGCCTAGAAATTCTGTCATTATAACTAAAGATGAAGTTCACAAGAATATGTGTTAATATATCATACAATGACAAGAAATAAAATATTTTTGACTATTATTTGTTTACACAAATAGATACAAGATAGTGAAAAACTTTCTTCAGT